AAGTAGTGGTCTCAGTGTTTGACCATAACAGGAGGAAGGGGGTTTCCTGTGGCAGAAGGGAGAGCTCCGCGTGCCGGCTGCTCCTGCCAGCTTCCCCGGCCGGCTGGTGGAGCAGCTCTTCCCCCTCGCCGCTGCTGAGTTGCTGTCCCAGCAGCTGTTGGAGGTGGAGGTGCTGAGCTGAGGCCTGTTCTCGAGGGCTACAAATTGCCGAGGTGACGGAGAATAATTTGTTTTACTTGGATCCTCCTTCAGTGAAGGGCCTAAGAAGTATTTATTCTCCGATGTGTCATCAGTGCTATCTGTTGAGGGAATCGTGGCATCCGCTGAACCTTAAGTATTTTCTGTCATGCGCAAGCCAGCTACGAGTATCGCTGACCTGGAGCTGGTTCTGTTGCTTTCCAAATACTTGGTGCCTGGTCCTTAACCATCTGGCACAGGGAACATGATGGCTGCACTACAGGCGGCTCTGAAGAACCCTCCCATCAACACAAAGAACCAGGCAGCAAAGGTGAAATAGTAACTAAGTTATTTGTGGGTTGCTCCTTAAAAATACTTTCCTGTTCCTATAACCCCTGCCCCACCAACCCTGCCCGGTGTGCTTTGAGGAAGCCAAGAAAGCTGGCTTTTAGGATATTCCCCGATGTCAAAACATCCGTGGCCTCTGCTGTCTTACTCGTGTTGAAAATACTGTAGCTCGGATGTCATCCGCCCACAGGCCTTTAACTTGGTGATGGATCAGGTTTTGTGTGTTCTCGTACATGCCTTGGCTGTACATGGTGCACCCTGGCTAACTCCACCCATCACCAGGTGCCCGTGCTTGATCCAGACCTGGCAGCACATAGATGTGGTCGGTGCTGAACCATCAAGGAACCACAACTGCAGTAGTCACCTCTGACTGAGGAAGCTCTGCTAGCACAGCCCGACTGTGAACCTACAAAAAAGGAAGAACTGATGGTTATCACATCCAATCAAAACAAAGCCGTTAAAACCTCAGAGCATGCAAGCACTCCCCCTGTGACCGAATATAGGAACCTGCTGCGTGCATGGATTTCTGAATCTCCCCGGACTAAACCTTGAATGGCTGGTGATTGCAATGGTGAGAGGAACAGGCAGATAAAGCGTGGATCTGCCCAGATGGTGGGCGCCTGCAAAGGTCTGTTCTTCCTGCTTGAGGAGAGTCCCACGGGCACGTTTCTGTGCTGCTCACCAGGCCACCGGTGGAGATTTTTTCACTTAGCCCCAGCCCTTTCCCAAGGGTTTTCACAGGGTTTTGAGATGCAGCTGTTTGTCACGGATAGTGCTGTATAAAAGACTGAACAGCTTTGTCCTCACATCAATGATTTGTTTCCATTAGAGTCGTATCGATGTATTTAAGAATACACTTTGAAGGCAGTGGAATTGAAGAGGGCAGAGTGACTGAATTTTAATGTTTGGCTTCATTTTTAGTTGATCTCATGGAACTTTTATGTTTTTACTTAGAGTTCTTCATGTGAGGTCTCGCTAAGCCAAGCAGCTATAGGATATTAAATAGAACAAGAAAACCGACACCCATAATTTCTGAAGAAGGAAGGTGCTTGAACTATTTGTATAATGGAATTATTCAAAAGTCCAACAAAGCCGAGACCTTTTTCATTTCTCCTCCCTCAGTTAGTGATGGATGAACAGGAAGAACTGCTTTTTGCTGATTACATGGCTAATCTGCTGCTGTAATCATGCCACACACATTCCTGGGCCTGAAATGACATCCAGATCAACTTGCAAATGGTTATTAACACAGAATATTAATGCTGCCAGTTTGCAATCCTGTGCGCCTGGGACAGAAGTTGACTCTATTGAAAATACGTGGTTTCCAGCAGTCACCTCTTCCAGGCTGGCCAATAGCATTTCCATGGAATAGAACAGTTGTATGTCATTAGAGAGTATAGAAGCATGGAAAAGGCTCTGGTGACAAGGGAGGCCAGTCAAGTACTTAATTCTTATAATTCTTTTGGAATTTGCCAGACCTTGAGTTCCTATTTATTTAGCTTAATTTACTATTTAGCTGTGATTTAATAGGTGGAGAATTGCAAACACAGGCAGAGAGGCAGAAAACCTAGAGGAGGACAAACTCATTGAGCGCTTTTGTGCTGTTTATCATTGGGAAGACATGTCTGTTAATACATCATTATCACAAGCTTTGTGCACAAACTGCCCTATTCAAGAGATTTTAAAATTGTTTAAAAAAAAACTAGGTTAGTTTGTTGGAGAGATGATTAATATTTGACGTACCTTGTACAAGAGTGAATGTATCTCCGCCTGCCTTATTTGTCGACAGGATCGTGCAGAAAGTATTGTCCTGAAGGTCCTCATCTCTTTCAAAGCCAACGATATTGAGAAGGCGGTGCAGTCGCTGGACAAGAACGGTGTCGACCTGCTAATGAAGTACATCTACAAAGGCTTTGAGAGCCCCTCTGATAACAGCAGCGCTGTGCTGCTGCAGTGGCACGAGAAGGTGCGTTTATAGGGCGTGCTCTTGCCTGGGTTATCTATGGTAGCAGGTTCTCTGGTCCAAGGCATGTCCAAGGCATGCTCACCGAGCCTGGTAAGAACTGCCTTTCTGTCTGATAAAACTGAAATGCCCAATTTCACGCTGTCAGGAGGGTACGGTCCTGTGAGCTCTTATGCCTACTTCTGACTCCTTTGGTGAAGATTCTACAGTTAAAATTTCGGTTTATGTTAGACAGAGGCAAACAAAATGGTTCAATCCAGCAATTCAAGTGGATGGAAGTAGAATATCCTTCCTACAGGGAAGCAAACTTGGAACTCAGTTATGCAGTGAAATAAAAGCTTATTAAATAGCTGTCTTTAAAGCGACTGCGGTTATCCTTCCCTGGCACCCGGAGTGCTAGTGTTTGCTCTTAATGTAAAGGGCAGAGATATGCTCATTTGAAATAGTCAGGAGACCTTTCCACTCAGTTGTTTCAACCCATGGCTACCTTGACCTGGTGTTAATTGCTGTTTCTCTCTTCTCAGGCCCTGGCTGCTGGAGGAGTAGGGTCCATTGTCCGTGTCTTGACTGCCAGGAAAACGGTTTAAATCCAGCAGCGAGTGGTTGTCTGCCATCCACGGCGTGGGAAATGCTGGTACAAAACCCAAACAACCAAATGCCATTGCTGCCCTGTGGGCAGCACCTGTCTCTCAGCTTGCCTTCTCGCTGCTTCTTTCATACCTGACAAATAATGCATATCATGATCTCTTTTTTTTGTTAAATTCTGGAAAATTATGAAGGTGCAATTTTATTTCTAACAGGAATATTTGGTACTTGCGAACATTTCAGTGACACGTATAGGGACATATAGAACTTCATGTTTAGGATGATTTGGATTTGTGTATAATTATGGCAGATCTGGACCTGACTTTCCGAGCAAATGCTGAGGGACGTAGGGCAATGTCTTAATTCTTTCGCTAGCCAAGTAGTGTTCTGATGCAAGATCTGTATTTGAGAAGTGAGGCAGCTATTAATATAGGTAACTGGACCATGTTTACTTTGGTCAGCCTCTGAACCTAGAGCCGTGAATAGGACAGAAAGCAAAGGCTCCCTTCTGACCCTGATTATCATTCCAGAGAGCTGAGTATTTTCCTTAACCTCACATCTCGTGGCCTGTTCAGGTTCCTTGTGATCAGTCAAATGCTGGGTCCACAGCAGGAAAGTCACAACAGGATGAAGTTGTCCATCGTGCAGTTTGGATGGTAGAATTTAACAGATTGGTGGTCCATTTATGCTGGAGCCCAGCCCAGTGAACTCTTTTAATTTGGGGGAGCAAAGATCCTGAAGAGAATTAAAACAAGCAGCTTTCACACACCAAATCACCTTTCAGCAACTTGAAAGTGATGTGATTTTGTCAAGCACAACAAAGTGGCTGCCTGGGGTAATCTCAGAAATGCATACTGGTATCCACGCCATCCTTGCACAGCTCCCGTGTTTTGTTTTCAAGATCTGTGGGGTTGTGAAGGATACCAGACCTTTTGCATTCCTGTTGGATTGTGCCACAGTGTGATAGCTAGTGGGCGAATCAGGTTCCAAAATTAAGAGGAGTACTTTAAAAATAATTAGGAAAGCCCAGGGTATCCCAGACCACAGATCACCATTGAAGGTTTAGGGCCAGACTGAAATACATGTGTTTTACATTCACCATTTTACTGCAGTTCAGTTGTGTGAAACTGTTGGGGAACTTGTGAAATCTTTGCTGTTTTTTGATATCTGCTTTTTTTGTAATTTAATAAAGATCAGACAATAAATCGTCACTGAATATTTACTCGGTGTCTGAAATGCCTTCAGTTAACTAACTGTTTTCAGCAGGCTGCTATTCAAGGGTGGACAAGAGTGAAAAAACAAGCCCTAAAACTCCTGCTCTCCATTATTTTTCTCAGTAGCTTGGCTTTCTAGCGCTTATTTGTACCTGTACGTAGTGCCGATACATGTGCAGCTTCATCCGACTAGAAAATCTGAGATTATTTCAGTGAGGTATTTCAACAAGAAGAAATGTTCCAAACCAGGACTACTAGAGCTGTCTCTGCCTATGCTAAAATTACAGCCAGGGAGCGAGATCATCCCAACTATTAGTGTTAGATGATTTCTCAAGAACAAAAGGAGGGTGGTTATGTGGAGCAAAACTCCTGATTTCACAGTTGGGCTTTTGTTTTGTCTCTCTGCCTGCCCCAACTCCAAGAGATGAGACCTTTAATCATTGGTTTTAATAATGAGGTAAGCATAGACACAGTCCTGGGCTTGTCCTGTGGATGGGATGATTGTGTGTGCCTCTGTCATCACTAATGGCACACATACTCAGCTTGGACTTCTGAAGGGTCTGAGCATACAGAAACCTGGCGTTGAGCACTCGGGCATCTGAAGGAAATCTCCTGTTCATTACCAAGTCATCGCTTTGGAAAGGCAGAGCTAATGCCTTCAGTCACCTCAAACCAAAGTGTTCCCCATGCGCCATGTTCACTCAGGAATCAGTAAGACAGTTTCAGCAATAACCTTTTTTCCTTCCATCCTACCTCCTCCATTTCCCCGGACAGTCCAAGACCCGTGCAGCCACAGCTGCCACGTGTTGCGGACATGTCCGAGCCGGGCAACAGAGCCCTCTCACCCCACCGCCTGCTTCCCAGCCAGGGCCACAGTGCCCCAAGTCCTCGGGGCCTCAACGCACACAAGAACCAGCGTGGTTACCCCTCAACCATTTGGTGCCCTCCCTACCTTCCATCCTAGGGTCCTTTTCCTTGTTTAATTTCTTCAGAAGAACAGAGGTGCAACAACAGGAGGCACTGGCCATGCAAAGTGGAAGATCTGGCCTCGCTGCAAAGACCACAAAAAACATCCAGGTTTTAACCATACATACATACAGAATCCTAGCCACGTGCAGCAATAGCTCTGTCCTTACAGCTCTCAGAGGGACTCTGTTTCCTTCCGTTTGTCCAAATTTGGTTAAGACACCAATCGATCCTCCTCTTTTTTAAAAAATGCATAATAAAAAGCCGTAATCCCAGGTAAATGAAAAGTATTTTCCAAAACAACTGATGTCAAAGCAGATCAGCTACCTCTAGGTGGCATTAGATAAACAAAAACAACAAGAAGCATGATCTTAAGGTTCTCCAGATTCCCCTTGGGGTAGGCTGTGATGTATTTAGAAACATATGCAAAATGGATACATCTTCTGCATCTGCACCCAGGGATGTGCTAAAAGACATGCACCGATGGGGGGGTAGTAGTGCAAGATTTGCAGGAAGGCATCTCTTCTCAACTGATTGACAGGAAGATAAAAAGTAAATCTAGTTTAAAAAGAAAATTCACCTCTTTCTTCGAAATCCTCCCCTGCTTGATTTCGTGGACCATACAAATTCCACAACAGGGAGCAAGCCCCCGCTGCGCCGAACAGTGGCCTGCATCTGGATGCTGCATTCACCTTACGCAGGGGCCGCCACTGGCTGAGTGAGTTCAGAGCAGCTTTAAATCCTTGGGCCAGCTCCATGGGAGGAGGCACACGGTCCCACTGCTCCACTGGCAAAGCGGAGCCTGAGCTTGGTATCTCTGGCAGGTATGTGGCGGAGGGCACCAAGTGTTCCCAGCCCAGCCAAAATCCACCGGCATGGTGTTAACAAGACCTCCAGCAGAGAATGGGACCAGCCCATAAGCTGGAGAGAAGCTCACCATGGGAGTTGCCTCCAGCTGCCAGCTGTCTCGCAGCAGTTGGGTCTGGTGGAGGCCATCCTCAGCTGCTGGCCCCGAACCCCACTCATCCACACACACCTCATCAGAGTGGCCATTTGTGTACACCCAGGCAGAAGGGGTGTTTAATCCTTTAATGTGGCACCACAGGTTTCTAAGAGGAAAACAGGGAAAGTTGGGCAGGGATGAACAAAACACCTAAACAATTCCATTTTGCAAAACTCTTCCTATTATGAGTAGGAAGACTTCAATGAAAACCCCTCGCGGTGCAGAGCAGACCTATTCGAAGGGGGATGGCATTTGCAGAGCTCTGCTAGGAAGGCTCGGCACTTCTGAGTCTCACTTGCAAATTTCCCACCGCTGCCTCCAGCTTTGGCTGGAGCATGTGGCAACAGCACCTTATCAGTCACATCCTGCTTTTGTAACAGCCGAGAGAAACTGCTGTCCTCCCGCCACCCGGAGCCGCAGCCCCCGCCAAGACCTGGGCTCTGAGTCATCCATGACTTGGCCAAAGAGCTCCCACTTGCTCTTGCCTCGCTCCCTGCCACTATTTAGGGAGCAAGCCAAAAAATCAGGTCCTGTGCAGAGAGTGAGTTCAGAGCTTCCTTCCAGGGAAGGAGCTGGACATGTTCAGTCTCCCTCCCCTCCTCCTGTCTTATAGATCTCCCAAACAAGATCAATCCCCTCAGTCTTTCCTCATGTAACGTTTTCTAGTGCCCAGATCAGTCTTTTTTGGGGTCTCCTCTCCAGAAATGTTGATAAACCCTTGCATACTGCTGCTGTACAAACTAAAAAATGACTGCTGTACCTTAGCTGGATTTGGGACATTTCTATGTATTTCTTACCCGTCTCTTGGTGATCTGCATTTGTGCTGATTTCCAAGAATCTCCTATGGGAGATGTCACCATCTCTCTTACTCACTTCCTCTCGGACGTTATCATAAAGAAAACAACTTTACCTACTAAGTCAACTTGGTAAGAGAAAGCGGAACAGGAGACTGACTCAAAGTGGTATATTTATGGCAGCTTCGAAATTGCTTGAATGTTATGTTAAAAATAACCATGCAGAAGGATAGCTGCTGTGAGCATTTGCCATCCTTGTGTCTTTCAGATCCCATCTTTCTGTGAAATGCAAGAAAAAAAACCCAACACTTATCACAGGGATGATCTCGCATCCTCCTCCAGCTCCCCTTGTACCAGTTTTGGGATAAACCTGACCCTGCAGTGCACCAATTCAGATAATTAAATGAGCAGAAAATTACCCCTACAATAAGGCGAACCATTTCCTGCTAGATGGGTTCTCCTGTTCCTCACAGGAATGAGGAAAGGTGTCTCAGAGGGGTGTTTGCATACTCACCCTGGTGTTATTCCCACCCCTCTCCTTCAACATCATTTCAGCTGGTTGCATTCCCCTCTGCTTTTCTGGAGATGGAAGAGTCTCCTCTGTGCTCCTGCAGGAAGCCCACAGGAGCCAACTGGGTGCAGAGGGATGCTGAGGGCACGCTTACAGCTGGAGAACCAAAGTGACCCCCAGGTTCAGGGCTGTGCTTGGTCCTACTTTTGATTAAAATCCAAGTCCTTGCTGCTCAGCAGCTTGGGTTTCTTCCCAAGAAGCAGAAATCAAACAAAAGTCTCTCCCCCAGTCTCCCTCTTGTTGTTGGTGTTAAGCAATTTTCTGGGGAAGTTCGAGTAAACACACAAGGGCCAAGTCTTGCTGACATATTTTAAGCTCTTACAAAATATGCATCGCATCTCTGATGGATGAGGCAGAGGCAAAGTACTTCCAAAACAACCTAGAAACTGTATGTGGAGCACCCAGCTCCAAACCTTCTGAGTCAGCAGGCTAGACCCCTGCCGTCACTGCCTTCGCTGCCACCACATGCTCAGCCTCCCCCTGTCCTCCCAGCAGCGCTCCAGAGCCAGGTTCCGCACTGCTGGCCATCAAACGCCTCGACAGGAGGGATGTTGGGCTAAGTGTGAGTTACCACCACTGCTGGGGGTCAGCACAGCATGGCCACTGCCCCCCAGATCCCCATCCTCTGGCCTCCTCACTGGGGCAATGCGGTGCAGGACGGACAGGGCAGAAGGTTTCACAGGCTGTGCCTTGGGCTGTAGCTTGCCTTCCCTGGGTAGCCCCAGCCCAGCTGCAGGCAGCCGTGCCTACCAGGAGGTGCCTGCAGGAACCATTTAGCAACTACCTCCATTGAGGACCATGCTTGGGAGGGCACAAAGGGCTCAGCTGCAGCACTCGCCCTGTGGCTTTGCAACCCTAAATTTGACTGATCAATGACCCAGCTGACAAAATCCATGGCTTCTCATGAAAAACCCTGAGAAGCAAAACCCGAAGTGGTGAGGAGTGGCTGCCAGAAGAGGACCTGGCGTGCAACCCGTGGCAGCTCAGCGTGGAACCCCTTTGCAGCAGAGGCAGCCTCTGCCCCACTTCCCCATCCCAGGGCTGCGTTTCACTGACGTGCGTGAGGCCACTTCCTGCCAGGTTTGCAACACGGGCAGCGGGGGAGGCAGACATATAGGCAGAAGAGAGCCAGAGGGGTCGAGCAGCACCGCAAGGAAGAACGAGGAGAGGGGCGAGAGCTGCAACACCGCCGGAGATCCCACATCCTGCTCTCACTGCGCCATGTCCCTCGTGGAGACGATCCGGCTGTGGCAAGAAGGGGTGTGTGCAGCAGACAGGAAGGAGTGGAGGGCAGCCCTGGATGCCTTCACGGCCGTCCAGAACCCCCCTGCCAAAATCTGCTTTAACATCGGCTGCATCTACCTTGTTCTGGGGAAGCTGGCCGAGGCGGAGGAGGTAAGGTGCAGCCTTTATAGTCACTACCCTGCTCGCAGGCACCGGCAAGTTTGAACGCAGACCTGCCAGACACATGGACACAGTGGGAAAGGGGGGAATTAAGGGCCACGGTCTGACTAAGGGAAGGATGCAGGGCCTTTTAAAGCTGGGCTGAAGCGTGACACCCATGGGCTGTTCCTGCT